TGTGTCCCCCTCTTCTTCATGTCTCTTCTTCATCAACATGTGTCCCCTCTGCTTTCTAATCATGTCTCTTTCTTCATCACACATGTGTCCCCTCTCTTCTTCATGTCTCTTCTACATCAACATGTGTCCCCTCTTCTTCATGTCTCTTCTTCATCAACATTGTGTCCCCTTCTTCTTCATGTCTCTTCTACATCAACATGTGTCCCCTCTTCTTCATGTCTCTTCTTCATCAACATGTGTCCCCTCTTCTTCATGTCTCTTCTTCATCAACATGTGTCCCCTCTTCATCAACATGTGTCCCCTCTTCTTCATGTCTCTTCTTCATCAACATGTGTCCCCTCTTCTTCATGTCTCTTCTACATCAACATGTGTCCCCTCTTCTTCATGTCTTCTTCTTCAACATGTGTCCCCTCTTCTTCATGTCTCTTCTTCATCAACATGTGTCCCCTCTTCTTCATGTCTCTTCTACATCAACATGTGCCCCTCTTCTTCATGTCTCTTCTTCATCAACATGTGTCCCCTCTTCTTCATGTCTTTTCTTCAAACATGTGCCCTCTTCTTCATGTCTCTTCTTACATCAACATGTGTCCCCTCTTCTTCATGTCTCTTCTTCATCAACATGTGTCCCCTTTTCATGTCTCTTCTTCATCAACATGTGTCCCCTCTTCTTCATGTCTCTTCTTCATCAACATGTGTCCCCTCTTCTTCATGTCTCTTCTACATCAACATGTGTCCCCTCTTCTTCATGTCTCTTCTTACATCAACATGTGTCCCCTCTTCTTCATGTCTCTTCTACATCAACATGTGTCCCCTCTTCTTCATGTCTCTTCTCATCAACATGTGTCCCCTCTTCTTCATGTCTCTTCTACATCAACATGTGTCCCCTCTTCTTCATGTCTCTTCTACATCAACATGTGTCCCCTATTCCTTCATGTCTCTTCTACATCAACATGTGTCCCCCTCTTCTTCATGTCTCTTCTACATCAACATGTGTCCCCTCTTCTTCATGTCTCTTCTTACATCAACATGTGTCCTCCTCTTCTTCATGTCTCTTCTTCATCAACATGTGTCCCCTCTCTTCCTGTCTCTCTTTCATAACAGTGTCCCTCTTCTTCTTCTATCAACATGTGTCCCCTCTTCTCATGTCTCTTCTACATCATGTGTCCCCTCTTCTTCATGTCTCTTCTACATCACATGTGTCCCCTCTTCTTCATGTCTCTTCTACATCAACATGTGTCCCCTCTTCTTTCATGTCTCTTCATCAACATGTGTCCCCTCTTCTTCATGTCTCTTCACATCAACATGTGTCACCCTCTTCTTCATGTCTCTTCTACATCAACATGTGTCCCCTCTTCTTCATGTCTCTTCTACATCAACATGTGTCCCCCTCTTCTTCATGTCCTCTTCTACATCAACATGTGTCCCCTCTTCTTCTGTCTCTTCTACATCAAACAGGTGTCCCCTCCTTCTTCATGTCTCTTCTTCATCAACATGTGTCCCCTCTCTTCATGTCTCTTCTACATCAACATGTGTCCCCCTCTTCTTCATGTCTCTTCTTCATCAACATGTGTCCCCTCTTCTTCATGTCTCTTCTACATCATGTGGTCCCCTCTTCTTCATGTCTCTTCTTCATCAACATGTGTCCCCTTCTTCTTCATGTCTCTTCTTCATCAACATGTGTCCCCTCTTCTTCATGTCTCTTCTTCATCAACATGTGTCCCCTCTTCTTCATGTCTCTTCTTACATCAACATGTGTCCCCTCTTCTTCATGTCTCTTCTTACATCAACATGTGTCCCCTCTTCTTCATGTCTCTCTTCATCAACATGTGTCCCCTCTTCTTCATGTCTCTTCTTACATCAACATGTGTCCCCTCTTCTTCATTGTCTCTTCTTCATCAACATGTGTCCCTCTTCTTCATGTCTCTTCTACATCAACATGTGTCCCCTCTTCTTCATGTCTCTTCTTCATCAACATGTGTCCCCTCTTCTTCATGTCTCGTTCTTCATCAACATGTGTCCCCTTCTTCTTCATGTCTCTTCTACATCAACATGTGTCCCCTATTCTTCATGTCTCTTCTTCATCAACATGTGTCCCCTCTTCTTCATGTCTCTTCTTCATCAACATGTGCCCCCTCTTCTTCATGTCTCTTCTACATCAACAGTGTCCCCTCTTCTTCATGTCTCTTCTTCATCAACATGTGTCCCCTCTCTTCATGTCTCTTTCTTCATCAACATGTGTCCCCTCTTCTTCATGTCTCTTCTCATCAACATGTGTCCCCTCTTCTTCATGTCTCTTCTACATCATGTGTCCCCTCTTCTTCATGTCTCTTCTTCATCAACATGTGTCCCCTCTTCTTCATGTCTCTTCTACATCAACATGTGTCCCCTCTTCTTCATGTCTCTTCTTCATCAACATGTGTCCCCTCTTCTTCATGTCTCTTCTACATCAACATGTGTCCCCTCTTCTTCATGTCTCTTCTACATCAACATGTGTCCCCTCTTCTTCATGTCTCTTCTACATCAACATGTGTCCCCTCTTCTTCATGTCTCTTCTACATCAACATGTGTCCCCTCTTCTTCATGTCTCTTCTACATCAACATGTGTCTCCTCTTCTTCATGTCTCTTCTCATCAACATGTGTCCCCTCTTCTTCATGTCTCTTCTTCATCAACATGTGTCCCTCTTCATGTCTCTTCTTCATCAACATGTGTCCCCTCTTCTTCATGTCTCTTCTACATCATGTGTCCCCTCTTCTCATGTCTCATTCTACATCAACATGTGTCCCCTCTTCTTCATGCTCTTCTCTACATCAACATGTGTCCCCTCTTTCTTCATGTCTCTCTACTTCATCAACATGTGTCCCCTCTTCTTCATGTCTCTTCTACATCAACATGTGTCCCCTCTTCTTCATGTCTCTTCTACATCAACATTGTGTCCCCTCTTCTTCATGTCTCTTCTACAATCAACATGTTGTCCCCCTCTTCTTCTATGTCTCTTCTTAATCAACATGTGTCCCCTCTTCTTCATGTCTCTTCTACATCAACATGTGTCCCTCTTCTTTCATGTCTCTTCTTCATCAACAGTGTCCCCTCTTCTTTCATGTCTCTTCTACATCAACATGATGTCCCCTCTTCTTCATGTCTCTTCTTCATCCAACATGTGTCCCCCCCTCTTCTTCATTCATGTCTCTTCTACATCAACATGTGTCCCTCTTCTTCCATGTCTCTTCTTCATCAACATGTGTCCCCTCTTCTTCATGTCTCTTCTTCAATCAACATTGTCCCCCATCTTCTCATGTCCCCTCTTCTTCATGTCTCTTCTCATCAACATGTGTCCCCTCTTCTTCATGTCTCTTCTTCATCAACATGTGTCCCCTCTTCTTCATGTCTCTTCTCA